GATGTGCCAGTGTTTCTGAACAATAGATTTTATATGTTTAGCATCACCACTATAGTCCAAAATTAAAAGGGGTTCCTCTGTTTGTTTAGTTGCTTGTCTATCTTTATATTCTAACTGGGACTCTCTATTTAGTTGTTTAATTTCCTGGATTTGGTGATCTAAAGTGGTTGGATCATACTTCTTTTCAACAAAAAAGTTTTTTAGTCGTCCCGCCTGTTCCTCATATTCCTTAATGTCAATTTTTGAAAATGCGGTTGAATTGACTTTTGGGTACATTGCGCAACCACGGATCATAATGACAACTCGTGGTGTCAATGTACCCATTGATATCCACCGGTTTAAAATAGGTTCTGGTGAGGATATGGTTGTTGGAGACATAAATCTCTAGATCTAAAAACTGAACTGACGTTTGGCTAATTTGACTAGTCAAAACAATATTTCTGCAATTGTCGTTAAGACCCTCCAAGAAGAGATCCAAAGAAGTTCTGGACCCCTTCCATATAAAAAAAATATCGTCGATATATCTGCGATAGAGGACCAGAAGAAAAAAAGTAATCTAAACCATTCTCAAATTAAAGCCCTGAGAGATCTTCAACAAGATCACAATATTATTATTAAGCCAGCAGACAAGGGTGGAGGCATCGTTGTGCTGAATGTTGCGGACTACATGGAAGAGGTATACAGACAGCTCAACGATGCCTCCACCTATGTTAAACTTAAAGCTGACCCTACCCCAGAAATAAGAAAGAAATATACCTCACTACTAAGTAAAGGTATGGAAGATGGGATTCTCAATAAACATGAATATAAATATTTAAATATATCGGTATGTCGCATACCAGTTCTTTATATTCTCCCAAAAATTCATAAGGATACAAAGAAGCCTCCTGGAAGGCCCATAGTATCCGGGGTAGGATCCCTTTTGAGTAGGCTATCTGAATACATAGATAGACAACTCCAACCTTTGGTGACATCTCAACCAACCTACCTTAGGGACTCCACACAGTTATTAAAGACCCTACAGAACATTCAATGGGAAGAAGATTTTTATCTGGTCACATGTGATGTGACCAGTTTGTACACTATCATTTCACATAAGCTGGGCTGTGAAGCTATTAAATATTTTTTGTCACACAGTAACAAGTTTGTTGAGAACCAGATTAACTTCATTATAGACAGTATCTATTTAATCCTTACCAACAATTTCTTTTGGTTTGATGGTTCCTTTTTTCTACAGTTAGTCGGAACTGCGATGGGGACCAGATTCGCTCCCAGCTATGCTAATCTGTTTATGTCTCACTGGGAGGGTACCTTCCTCCCAGTTCGGGACGATATGGGGGCGGGTCTGGTCCTCTATCGCAGATATATCGACGATATTTTTTTTATATGGAAGGGGTCCAGAACTTCTTTGGATCTCTTCTTGGAGGGTCTTAACGACAATTGCAGAAATATTGTTTTGACTAGTCAAATTAGCCAAACGTCAGTTCAGTTTTTAGATCTAGAGATTTATGTCTCCAACAACCATATCCTCACCAGAACCTATTTTAAACCGGTGGATGTCAATGGGTACATTGACACCACGAGTTGTCATTATGATCCGTGGTTGCGCAATGTACCCAAAAGTCAATTCAACCGCATTTTCAAAAATTGCAGTGACATTAAGGAATATGAGGAACAGGCGGGACGACTAAAAAACTTTTTTGTTGAAAAGAAGTATGATCCAACCACTTTAGATCACCAAATCCAGAAAATTAAACAACTAAATAGAGAGTCCCAGTTAGAATATAAAGATAGACAAGCAACTAAACAAACAGAGGAACCCCTTTTAATTTTGGACTATAGTGGTGATGCTAAACATATAAAATCTATTGTTCAGAAACACTGGCACATCCTAAAAACCGATGAAGGTCTTAATAACATCATTAGGGAAAAACCAAAAATTGTATATAGAGGCACAAAAAATCTCCAAAGTCTATTGGTTAAAAACCATATAAAAACTCAGACTGCTAATACTAATATTTTTAACCAAAAATATGGCTTCTATCCATGTAAAATGTGCACAGTTTGCAAAAGAACAAAATCTAAGAAAGACACACACACTAAATTTACTTCTAACATATCCAAAAAGGAATATAAGATCAATTCTATCCTCACCTGCCACTCTAGTAATGTGATATACCTCCTCTGGTGCCCTTGTGGACTCCAGTATGTGGGAATGACCACGAGAACATTAAAAACCCGCATGCTGGAACACTTGGGCAATATACAGAGGGGGTATGCCAAACATAGTGTCTCCGCACATTTCTTACAATGTCACAACAGTGATCCTTCGCATGTTAATTTTATTGCCATTGCTCAAAAGAAAAAGGATTGGAGGGGTGAAGATAATTTCAAAGAACTCTGCAAAATTGAAAGTAGGTGGATATTCGAATTAAACACTTTATCCCCTAAGGGCTTGAATTTAGATTTTGAATTGGCTCATTTTTTATAATTAAATTTTCTTTTTTCTTTCACTCACCAATCCTATTCTATATGGGCTACATTTACATAACTTAGATGTGATGTATACCTTTAAGATACCACATACTATATGCCCATATGTTGTTGTTTTTTATTAATACATATATATTCCTCTTTTCCTTTTGGTATGCAGCATTGCACTATTGTTGCTATTTGCACAAATAGTTATGTCTCTTCTCATGTTACAAATAACTACCTATATGTACACACTTTATAAGATATGAAAGGTGCCCATCTTTAATATGGAGCTTTTTGCTTCATTTGGGCAAATGTACTAACAAATCTATCTGAAACTGACATAAGGTATTATGTGTTTAGAATGTTGTTTACCAATTAATTTTCTTTTTTATACATATCATTGTATGATTACCGCTATTTGTATAGACAATTATGTCACTTTTCTTAGTATAAATCATTGTTCCTGTATGCACTCTAATAATCATACAATATGCCCATTCACTACATGGAGTTTTCAGCTTCAACTGGGCAAATGCATTGAATACAATCAAGCAGGAAAATGAATGCTGAAATACCGGAAGTGACGTCAGACGCCGGCCACTCGAACTTCCGCCCATGTGACCGGCAATTAGAATAAGCAGTGATTTTAAAATGGAACAGCAGCTGGATGTTTTATGCACTGATGAAAACTCGGACTGAGTTGAAACGCGTCTGCATGACTGTGATTCTGTGTGTCACCATATGGGACCTGCACAGTTACTATTTAAATTTTAAATTTTTACTTACAATAAATTTATTATTTTTATTCATCCTTCTGCTGCTGTTTTTTCCTACTTCTGGGGGATATTATTCAAGATTCTCCACAGAGCCTTCTGAGGCACCCTTGGGCACCATATACAGAGCCTGGCACGGCTCTGAAATCCGTGAGTGTATTCAATCACTTCCATATTTCCTTCTTCTGTATATACAGGCTATACTATGTACTATTTTTTATCTTTATAGGTTTTTATATGGACCATCTCCTAAATGTACCTGTACATGTATAAGTATTATTATTGCCTGTTTTGATACACAGGGAGTGGTGTGTGTATTTGGCACTTGTTGCTTTTAGTACCTTTTTCTATTACTTGATTTTAGGGTGTTGGGGAACACCCTTTCCACTCCAACTGTGCTCCTGTTTTACTATGTAAGCGCCATTCACTTTTCTTCTTTTTTGTATCTAAACACCAAAAATAGTCAGTACGCCCCATATGGGCTGGAGTGTGGGTCCAAGCAATGCCAGCAAGATAAACAAAAAAACAAAAAAAAAAAAAAAATTTGTGACGTTGCGACCCAAATAAATTAGACTATATCCTACAACAATGCCTTCCTGACCCATAGCTGACGATGGTGGGACTGTTGTCAACATTCCCAATCTCCCCTGATGTTCACCTGTAACAGAGCAGCCTAATAACAAATCTGGGCCGGGTGCGGACCCGTTCCGCACGACCCCCCCATTGGACCTACAATGACGGCTGAGCACAAAGGCTCCACATTGTACCCCAAATTAAACTCTCAAGTTCGAGAGACACTGTACATACTTATGTTTGTATATTTTTGTTCCCCCTGTTCTAAACATGTTAATCCCCTACCCAATACTCCGGCAGCAGAGACAAACTATACCCATACTAGATACCTCCAGACATCAAGGCACAACCAGATACCCGCCAGACTGAAGTCGATCAAAGGGCCTGTACTCGCACATACACACCATCCCAAGTCGAGCAAATGCACCAAAAACCCACACACTTTTAATGACACACCAATTTAAATGCTTCTCTATGAACATAAATGGTCTAAACAGCCCCTTCAAAAGAAGCTCAGCGATCAGGGCAATGCAAAAATCTCAAGCAGCTATAGTATGTCTTCAAGAGACACATATGTGCAAGAAAAACCCCCCCATCTTAACATCTTCTAAATATCACCAAGCGTATCATGCTCTTTCCCCGACCAAAACAAAAGGAGTAGCAATATTGTTCCATGTAGACTGGGTATTCCAACTCAACAACACATACGTAGACGAACAAGGCAGACTCCTAATTTTGGTGGGCTCAATGAACGGCATGCAATTGACGGTAGCATCCATATATGCACCTAACAACTCCCAAACATCATTCATAAAACGAGCGTTAAATAAGATAATCAGCCTCCGGATGGGTCACATCATAATCTGTGGGGATCTAAACTGCACGTTGGACCCCAAGCTAGATATCAAACGTATAGAGAGTAAACAACCACTCCAGCAAGCCAGCACTATGAGCCTCAATCTCAGCACATTGCTCCACACGAATGACCTATACGACACATGGCGCGCCCTATACCCGAAAGAGAAAAACTACACCTACTTCTCACAGGTACACCACACATACTCTCGCATAGACATGTGCTGGGTAGATAAAAGCACAATCTCAAATGTTATAGAAGTGCAAATAGGTGATAGGACCTGGTCTGATCATGCACCAGTAATCACTTCGTTCAGAGCCATGTACCCGGCCCGGGGGCGGAGTTCATGGCGTCTGAACGAATCCCTCATAGATAACGTAGACACGGCCACCAAAATACGCATAAATATACAAACGTTCTCTGAGAATCACCAGACAGATCCTTCACGCATAGACACCAAATGGTTGGCCCTCAAAGCTGTACTAAGAGGCCTTTTAATCCAAGCAGGGTCGATAAACAAACGGAAGGCTCACAACGAGACAGACGAATTGCTCTCATTACTTAACACACTAGATAAGGCCAACAAACTAAGACCAACTAGAACACTGTCCCAACAGATTGAAAAGACAAGAGAAAAGCTACACGCACTGTCTCTAACCAATATGGAAAGGCAGCTACGTAAACTAAAACTAACATACTATATGCAAGGGAATAAGGCGGGCAAAGTGCTTGCACAACGCCTAAAATCCCGATATATACAATCAAAACTCCCATACATGACAACTGCCACAGTAACAAAATGATTTAACCCACAGGACATAGTGGACGAACTGGCGAACTTCTACAAAGGTCTATACAACCTCACACAAGACAAATCACTGCACCAACCATTAGAGACAGAAATAGACACCTTTCTGAGTGCAGCGAAATTGCCACGTCTGACTGCACACCAAAGCTCGACACTGACAGCTAAATTCACAGAAGACGAAGTACGAAACACAGTACTCAAACTACCCAAACACAAAGCCCCGAGCCCGGATGGGTTCCCTAACCGCTTCTACCACACATTTGAAGCACAGCTCACACCATACCTCACAGATCTTTTCAACTTCTTTAGGGAATCAGGATCCATACCGGATGAGATGTTGCTAGCCCATATTGTTACGCTCCCTAAGCCAGGCAAACCACCCACTGAATGTGCCAACCTGAGGCCCATTTCGCTACTGAACGCAGACACAAAACTATATGCCAAACTATTAGCCACACGCATCCAACCCATTTTACAAGACCTGGTCTCTCCAGAGCAGGCAGGATTTGTTCCGAACAGGCAACCAGGGGACAACACATGCCACTTTTTGAACTTAATCACATGGGCCCAGAATACTAACCAGAAGGGCTTACTACTAGCCCTGGACGCGGAAAAAGCATTCGATCGCTTAAACTGCACATACATGCGATCTGTACTGACACATATGGGCATCCCTCAAGAATTCTTGAAATGCATAATGGTCCTATACTCCAGACCGTCAGCCAAAATATTCATTTCCTGGTTTTTATCACAACCTTTCCAAATAACAAATGGTACTAGACAGGGGTGCCCACTATCTCCATTAATCTTCATCTTGTGTATGGAACCCCTAATCAGACACATTAAAAGTGAACAAAACATTGAGGGCCTAACAACACCAATAGGGGACCAAAAAATAGCCCTTTTCGCAGACGATGTTCGCCTCTTTTTAACACACCCGGAGACATCTTTACAAAACTTGCTAGCTTTACTGGAAAGATATGGAAAGATGTCTTACTATAAGAACAACGCCAAAAAAACACAAGCGCTGGTGGTAGGGCTGCCTCACACCTTTCTATCACACCTTAAAACACTGTACCCATTTGACTGGCGGAAAACCTCCATTTCATACCTGGGCATAAAAATGCCAGCATCACAATCGATGATAATCCGGGAAAACCACACACCGCTCATAAACAGACTAGAACAACAACTCAAGGCCTGGGAGGACAAAGAGATTTCTTGGTTCGGGCGCATCCACACCATAAAAATGATGATTTTACCACATATCCTATATCTATTTCGCACTCTGCCCATTACAATCCCGAACCCCATACTAAAAAACTTTCAGGCTATAATCAATGCACACATTTGGAAACAGAAACCCCCAAGAATAGCACAAAACTCACTCTGGCGTTCATTCACAAAAGGTGGGCTGGGATACCCAACATAAAACTATACCATAAAGCTTCAATACTGGCACAAGGCCTTACGATCCTTGAGAGGACATCTACTCCCATGTGGCTAGCGTTGGAGAACGCATGCTTACCCACGGGCACGATCCCACTGCTCCTTTGGGCAGGCACAAAACTAAGACCAAAACCCTGCTACCAGTCACAGAAACGTTGCTCCAAACTTGGAAGCAAGCCACCCCATTATTCCTATGAGAGAATGACCTACTCCTTGCAGCACCGCTTCAGGCCTTGGCTGCCCGAACGACCAACCTGCAGCTAGACAACTGGCTAAGTCAAGGGGTCTCTCGGGTACGCTCCTTGCTGACCCCAGAGGGTATCAAACCATTCCCGGACATAACCAGGGAATACCACATACCACCTAGGGAAATATTCTCCTACCTGAGAATAAGAAATATAATACAAGAGTGCAGGATCAGTTGGAAATAACCCAATCTCCTACCACCATTTATCCACAAATGTATGGGGAAACTACCCAAGGTTAAAGCACTATCCCTCTGTTATAACACACTACTAACCCAGAATAAAATAAGAAAACCCGCTTACATGACAAAATGGGAAATGGACCTGGGGTTGCAATTCCTAGTAGACACTTGGCACCATGCCCAGAATAAAACAAAACAGGCCTCACATAGTATCAATCAGTGGGAAACATACTGCAAACTAACCATGCCCTGGTACCTGGTCCCCACCAAAGTGGCTCATGTATATCCAGGATCGAAAAAACTATGCTGGAGATGCCAAAACAAAGAGGGGACCCTCTACCATATATTTTGGACATGCACACAGATCACAACACTATGGCGAGTCATACAAATACTTATTTGCAAAAACCTAGGGATTAGGGTTCATACTACACATATTCCTAGACACCCTCCACGAGGATGAAAGCTACTTAACGATCCACTGCCTAATGGCAACCAAAACTGCAATTGCCCACAAATGGAAGTCCACACAGGCACCCACACTACCAGAGATTCTAGGTAGATTGGACTCGATATATACATACGAATGCATGGCAAGTCGTATAACTGAGAGACAGAGTAGACATGAAACGAGGTGGCGCAGATGGGTGGAATATAGGTACGGCAAGACACAATAGGGACTACGAGCTACACAGCACTACACCAGGGCTCCCCCGAAGAGAAAGGATATTCAATGTAACAACTTTTAACAATATATTATCTGCTGCCACAGAACACCAACATTGATCCCCCCCTCTCCCCCCTCCTTCGCACCCTCCAACAGTTAGGGCAAAAGGTACCAAAACAGTGTCATGAAACATAATCAGGTATACAAGTGAATAACTACCAATGCAATGTAGTGTATATGACACGCTGTTAAAATATGACCATTACCTCATAATGTGAACAATTGTTAAAGACGCTATGTACAATCATGATACAATGTATATATTGGTGCCCTCCCCCTCCCCTTCTTTTTTCCTTCTGTACCCCTCGTCTTCTCACATTTTCTTATGTATGTTTTTCACGAACAATGAAAACTGAAAAATAAAACACATTGGAAAAAAGGAAGACACAAGACAAGGGGAGAGAGATCTGATAAGGTGAGATTGGACAGGACCAAGCGGGCAAGTGGTGAGGCGAGAGGAAAGGAGAAGCGCAGCCACCTCTTGTTCAGTAGCCGGGGAGAAAGTCTGAAGGGTAGGAAAGGCACTATCTATGTTTGGTTGAGAAAGAGAGAGGCAAGGTGGGGAGAATTATTTCGTTAGCTGTTCAATCTTGTCGGTAAAGTAGCATGCAAAGCTATCGGCTGTAAGGTTAGTTTGAGTGGTGGCTGTAGAAGAAGAGAGTTAAAGGCGTCAAAGAGACGCCTGGGATTGCGAGAGCATGAACTATTGAAAAGGGAAAAGTATGACTGTTTAGCAAAGGCAAGGGCTGCGCTGTATGAACATAATATGAATCTGTAATGGAGAAAGTCTGACTGGGTGCGAGACTTCCTCCAGGAGGGTTCATCACAACGGGAATGATCATGTGTGAATTTGCATCCTGTCAAATGAATCAGTTCTTTGAACATTTTCCAGATCTTTATATAGGATTTGGACAAAAAAATACTTTCTATAGATTTTGACACAAAAAGCACTGATGATATAGCAGACACAGAATGCATCAAGCTGAATCATGCAGATTCAGTCTTGATGAATTTATTGGTCATTTATATTGAATTTTGCTCATCATGTTTATTGACCAACCCTCTTAATCTCTAATCTGTGTTCCAGCCAACATCCCAAAAGTGTATTTGATGCAGGACTTCAAATATTAGCTCATTTAATGATATCAGTGTGTCTTAACAAATTAATTCTGATTCAGCTTTCAGTCTTACTTTTTGAACACTACATATGCTTTTGAATGGAACTGATGAATAATTCATTACTAATAAATGATAAATATAAATACTCACTTTTTGCATACTCTCTTTTGTCTCAAATTCCTAATCTCTGTTCTTCCTATTGAGACATCTGTCGAACCAGGAATAGGTTTGGCTTGGTAATGCATGCACTGGCCTGCCCATCAGAATCGATGGGGATATACTTAGCTTTGTGTGTTTATCATGACAAACAAAATGGAAAATAAAAATACAAAAAAATAAGTACACTGGTATATCACAATAGAAATATATCAGAAAGAAGATGAGTAAAGAGAAAACACAAAGGAAAGAGAGACAATAATGCAACACTGTAACCACTGAATGACAGGAAATTCATAAACGTGTTGTATTGATGCACACTGATAGAGTAACAGAAGTTCTAAGATTTACTGTAGACACGAGAGTAATGTCCCACTAATTTCTATGAGGACTGTGTGGAATGAACCAAAGCAGCTTTTGCTACATGTAATCAGGATCTCCCTTGTTGGAGAACTATCTTGATGCTTCAAGGTAGTGTGAGCTTTGAAAACCACACACAAATGTATCATATAATAAACTATCCTGGGATAGCAAATGTGACTTAGTGATTACAACATAGATATATAATTTTAATGGTATATTTAAAATGTTGAGCATAGTAATATATGTGTACAAGTCTATTGTCATCAAGGCATTAAAAAAACAACATTTTTAAAGGGATTATACAGATTAGGTGAGGTTCACTTGCCTTCAAGAGATTGTTCAATGATAAACCTACCTGGGGATAATGAAATCCAACAGGTGGTCTTGTAAATTTAGGGGGATTTCTACAAGAGTTATGATGTACATCCCAGTGAAACAATGCTCTACAAAGGGGTTCTGGGAAATTCCCACAAGAGCTGGGATGCACATCACAAAGAATCAGTGCTCTACAGATGTGGCTTTACTGAGCAGAGAAGAGCTCTGTACTCATACACACCACTATGATCACAGAGAAATAAATGCTCTGATATAATAATTATGTAAGTATTCCATATGCAACACACATTCCCAGAATATATGTAAACAATTTATTTCATGTGCTTGTGGTTCTTAAAGTCCTTCACGACAAGGAGTTAGATAAATCCAAATAAATCATGATTATTGTGGGATGTCAGCTCCTAGAGGGGTTAAAGAATTTTGTGATTCTCTCATCATATGTCATATTTGGATTTCTTATTTGGCATTAAGAGAGGCTCCACAAATCCTATGCAGCGCATCCCACAAATTTTATCTTAACATGAGTAACATACGTCTCTATGCTACATTTAATAGTATGTCATCAGCACTTGGCAACGTCTTCTGCCATATCTGATTTCTTTTGTTGGTATGAACTGTACATGTGTTGGCCAAGACCATTGAGGTGGGAAATTATCTGGGAACACGACAGATGCAGTTGTTTCATAAATGGCATGTTGAAGAAAACTATGCCTTAAAATAGACTTGGCCTTGATTCATCTGCCCACATAATATGTAAACACGTTTTGAACTCTTTAAATAATTCCCTTTAGTTT